GGACATGGTCGAGGCAATTCTGAGGAGTAGAACTGGATTTGATGGACAAAATGGTGAGTTCCAGCTGATGCTTGTTGTGGAATTTTGATCCATCATCATGCTTACCATGTGCTTCCACCATATAGGTACAATATGGTGATTGTTACAATCAATGAATACATACTGGTGAGCAATTGGGACATGGTCGAGGCAATTCTGATGAGTAGAACTGGATTTGATGGACAAAATGGTGAGTTCCAGCTGATCTTTGTTGTGGAATTTCGATCCATCATCATGCTTACCATGCGCTTCCACCATATAGGTCCAATATGATGGTTGTTCCAATCAATGAATACATACTGGTGAGCAATTGGGACATGGTCGAGGCAATTCTGAGGAGTAGAACTGGATTTGATGGACAAAATGGTGAGTTCCTGCTGATGCCTGTTGTGGAATTTCGATCCATCATCATGCTTACCATGTGCTTCCACCATATAGGTCCAATATGGTGATTGTTACAATCAATGAATACATGCTGGTGAGCAATTGGGACATGGTCGAGGCAATTCTGAGGAGTAGAACTGGATTTGATAGAACAGGATTTGATGGACAAAATGGTGATTTGCTGCTGATGCCTGTTGTGGAATTTCGATCCATCATCATGCTTACCATGTGCTTGCACCATGTAGGTCCAATATGGTGATTGTTACAATTAATGAATACATACTGGTGAGCAATTGGGACATGGTCGAGGCAATTCTGAGGAGTAGAACTGGATTTGATGGACAAACTGGTGAGTTCCAGCTGATGCTTGTTGTGGAATGTTGATCCATCATCATGCTTACAATGTGCTTGCACCATATAGGTCCAATATGATGGTTGTTCCAATCAATGAATACATAATGGTGAGCAATGGGACATGGTCGAGGCAATTCTGAGGAGTAGAACTGGATTCGATGGACAAACTGGTGAGTTCCTGCTGATGCCTGTTGTGGAATTTCGATCCATCATCGTGCTTACCATGTGCTTCCACCATATAGGTCCAATGTGGTGATTGTTACAATCAATGAATACATACTGGTGAGCAATTGGGACATGGTCGAGGCAATTCTGAGGAGTAGAACTGGATTTGATGGACAAAATGGTGAGTTCCCGCTGATGCTTGTTGCGGAATTCTGATCCATCATCATGCTTACAATGTGCTTCCACTATATAGGTCCAATATGGTGATTGTTACAATCAATGAATACATACTGGTGAGCAATTGGGACATGGTCAAGGCAATGCTGATGAGTAGAACTGGATTTGATGGACAAACTGGTGAGTTCCAGCTGATGCTTGTTGTGGAATTCTGATCCATCATCATGCTTACCATGCGCTTCCACCATATAGGTCCAATATGATGGTTGTTCCAAACAATGAATACATAATGGTGAGCAATTGGGACATGGTCGAGGCAATGCTGAGGAGTAGAACTGGATTTGATAAAAAAAATGGTGAGTTCCAGCTGATGCTTGTTGTGGAATTTTGATCCATCATCATGCTTACCATGTGCTTCCACCATGTAGCTCCAATATGGTGATCGTTACAATCAATGAATACATACTGGTGAGCAATTGGGACATTGCAGAGGCAATTCTGTCAAGAATGGAACTTGACCTGATGGCCCAGTTTGTGAGTTGCAGCTGATGCTTCTTGTTGGTCAAGAGTTTCAGTTGATTGTCATGCTTACCTATGCTTTCCCCAGGGTACAGATCAAAGAGAATGAATGCTCCAATGTATAAATATGCAACAGTGGCGTCGGACTGGTTATAGGGAGACGAATCTACTTGTTGGAACTGGAACTGATCTTAGTTCCTGCTGATGTCCTTTTGGACAGTCATGGTGCTTATGCTTTCATGATTGCTCACTTATAGCAAGTGATTGATGGATCATCTTCACCTTAGAGTTCCACTGCCTTAACGATTGTGCTCCAATTAGTTTTAGTATAGTACTTTTTGCCTGATGAAATGGATTTGACTGATGGCAATGCGAAGCAGATAAAGTTGGTGCCACCATAGTTAGTGCTTGTATTGACTTTTCATCTGTGATGGGACCCAGACTCACTGTGATTGACTATCATTCTTTCAGTGCCCAATTATGGTGTTAGCTAACAGGGACAACACCAACATTTGTTTGGTGATGCCTACCAGTAGTCGTTAGTGAGTAAATAGTTTATAGGTGATTGTGAAGATTCAAAGTTCTCTGCAAGACGGGGTAATTTTCAGATATTTGTGATATCCGGACGGACAGGGCTACTTCTGTGAGCAGGATCTCTAGTCGATTCCCGTTTGGAATGCTTGTCCAGCCGTTAAATTCTCGCTATGCTATTTGCAAAAATAGACCTCGCAAAAACACGCCCGCCAGTATACTTAGCGATCGTCAACGGATGAATGATCATCAGTGTGAAACCTTTTTTCTCCACGGTGGAGAAATAGATTTTTTTTCCTCCACGGTGGAGAAAACAGCTTCCGGTGGAGAAAACAGCTTCCGGTGGAGAAACGACACCCCCAAGTCTTCCCCAAACATAGTCTATCTTTTGTTCTTCAACAACAATCATAATGAGATTTGACTTCTCCGAAAAAGTCTTCTTCCACCTTGGGCTGGCACACTGCCTTCACACTCCATCATGAATCAGTAGCACCTGCCTGCAAGGCAACTATTAGTTGATTGTTGTAGCTTCCAACGCTAAACAGTATTGTATGTGGCTATGCGAATGTAGTTGTCGGGGCGCCCTGCTCCTACAGGATAGCACCAAAGTCTTGTATTTGATCGCGAGCAGCCTTGTTTGTATCCTGCAAATTGGCAACCACCCATCTTTCTCCAAAAGTTGCTTTTGAATATGAGCTCATAAAATTGGTCCCCCAATATTTTCTTTCCCCTGATGAACCTTTTGGCTCCAACTTCCGAATGGAGAAATAGAAGTTTTTTTCTCCATCATGGAGAAATAAAGTTTTTTTTCTCCATCATGGAGAAATAGATTTGTGCATTCGTGGATTCCAGATTCCACACCACCTGGCGACGAGGATGCAGTGCCTGCGTAGCCGCTTTGAATCGTATCCAAATTCGGGTCGAGCTTTTTTCATTTCATGCAGGTGACATGACCGTTATTTTATATTGCAATTTGTTTGGCGTGATTCAAAAATCTCTGGACCGTGTGGCAAATTCAGGCATTTAGCGAAACCGAAACCGCCAGACCCGACTATAGGGTGTGAAACACGCGCTAATTGGTGATGACGCGGTAAAACTGAAAACTGTTTTCAGACGGGGATATCCTGGAAATCCCGGGGAAAAAAAGCCAACTTTTAGGGAACTTTCAGGGAACTTTTAGGGAACTTTAAGGGAACTTTTAGGGAACTTTTAGGGAACTTTTGGGAGATTAATTGAGACTCCCCAAATGCTATCCCTGGTTTCCCAATTGCAAAGAAACTGTTACTTTTCAAATTGTGAATTATTATTATGCCATTGGCATCGGTTTTGGACAATCCAATGCTATCAACAAGGGCACTCTTCACTGTCAATAGCCTACAATGAATACTGGAGCGACTGCCAATGCTGGACAATAGTAGTTGAAGGATTGGAGAACCAGCAATGCGAAAAAAGAGCCCAAGAAACCTATCAAGGACAGTGCTGGAGAGACATCACCAAAAGCATGGACCCAAACCATGTCTACTCGCAGATGGGCAATGGCGTACATTCGGCCAAAAAGTCTTGTTTAGAACAAGGTCTTTGTCTTTGTTCACTGGATGGTCACATCTATTATTCAAGAAACCGACAACCCCAAAGTTCTCAAGTTCAAGATTTGGGCTAGACTTTGGCGGCAGGTGAACCTCAACGAGAGATTGAAATGTTTTGACACTATTGGAACTTGTTTTTGTTATACTATGGACAAGCATGAAACCGTTTACACTGACTTTCTTGTTTTGATTCAATACAAAATTGAGAATGGCCGTCCTTTGAATAGCGTCATCTACTATAGTGCAATACTCTATTATTTGTATGGTTTGTCTTTTGAGGGAATATTGTTTCGCAAAAGTTCCCTGAAAGTTCCCTAAAAGTTCCCTAAAAGTTCCCTTAAAGTTCCCTTAAAGTTCCCTAAAAGTTCCCTAAAAATTCCCTTAAAATTCCCTAAAAATTCCCTAAAAGTCCCCTATAAGTACCCGGGAAATTCCCTAAAAGTACCCGGGAAGTTCCCTAAAAATCCCCGGGAAGTTCCCTTAAAGTTCCCTTTTTTTCGGGTGTCCGTCCGGACAAACGGGTCATGTGATAACGTTCGTCTTTTCTGCGCGGAACCAGCCAAGTGGAGCTACAAGTAAATTGCCGGCACAACTCGCGCCAGCAGTCATCCATGGACTTCATCCACCAATCGTTCATGAACCAAAGGCCATTGTCATTGGTGGCACGTGTCACATGAACAAACGACAATCGGGCTTGCTCGCACGATGGGCCTACTCGCAGAAACCAAAAATAGCAGCGACACAACACAAAAAACGCCAAGACACAAAAACCATCATCATCACACATCCTAATAGTGACTGCTATCAATCCCATTGCTCGCAGCATAGTTGCTCAAATCAACAATCTTCTCTCTCCACCACTAGTCTGTAACGACATTTCCAAACTCCTCAGAGACCGGTTCCTCCATCCACTTCCGCACAGTCTAGCTTTTTACACATCTGTTTTTCATTTCCATTGCGCGGAGTGACATACAGTGTGTAGCTAGGAAAGTTTTTCTGTGTTGTGTCTTGTCCTCGCCTCTTGTAGGTTGGAGACTTGGTGCGGTGAAGTAATAAGATGGCAGGATCGTCTACAGGTGGGAACAATGGCACTGCTGGCAAGGGTAGGAGCAGGAAGAAGAAGGCTGATAGATCAACTTTAAATACTGCACAAGTTGTCACTCGATCCATCGCAGCAGCATCCACTGCAAGGCGTGTCATCACATCAACAGACAGTGACCAAAGCACCAAGGGTCAACAGAAACAGACAGCCTTGGCCACAGCCCCATCAGAGGTCCCTTTGACATCATTGGAAGATAATGTCAATGACAAAAAAAAGTGACCTTGCCGTTCACAAACACCAGTCCACCCTCACCTCACGACAGCACAGTTCCGCCAGCATTAGAAGAAAACAATGATGACACTAATGACAAGGTGGTTGCTTCGCAGGAAGACGGCAGTCCCACAGCACCAGCGGCCAACAATGGCCCGGTTCTGACCCAATCAGAAGTTGATGACAAAGAGGAAACAGTAAAAGCCCCACATTATTCTTTACCAGAACACAGTGGTGAGGCATCAGCAGACGTCCAAGCTCTCGCTCTGTCATCATCAGAGCGAGAAAAGGTGATGAAACAAGAATTGACAGAGTCGTCATGTGACGAAAATCTTGGGGAATTTTCAGATGAAATGTCTCAGTTTTCTTTTGTCTCCTCCCACCGGACGGCTATTCCTGGCGATGAAGACTACGAGAGCAACAGCGACGATGCTGCGTTGAGCCTGGACTCCAATGCTACAGACTACACATGCAAGGGCAGACCCCAAGCCTCCTACACCATTCTTGATTTACCACGTTTTTGCCACACGGTCCAGTAGATAATCGTGGAATTGAATCGATAAGTATTACTTAACAAGTTTCACGAATATCTGCAGAGAATTTTGAATTTTCACGACCATCTACAGAGAGCTTTTTGTCTTCACCCTAACCCTAACAGTTGGATTTCGGTTCTGGCGGACATAAGACAAGCGGCAGGCTTGTCGTCGTCCAAACCGATTGACAACTTTGTGGCCCATAAAGCCATCGTTGCCAACCTGCCGTGCCAACATGCGACCCATCAAGTCGTCATGCAGAGGCACTGACCATAGCGATCTCCGATCTGCCTAATAGGAAATAATCATCTCTACAGGAAATAACTATTCTAAAAGACTTGTTATCTACATGGAATGGGCAAAGCAAAAGCCTTGCACAAAAACTCAAATTTCCCAAACCTTTACTGGATGTTTGCAATCCAGAAAGGCCGGTACAAAAACCCACGTACAGAACTCCCGCAGGATTCAGTATGGGATTTTTGTGGCGCTCAGACGTTTGATAGTCCAAGCCCACAATTCCATGTTTTCAGATTCCCTGCAAAAACCGACTCATAGGAATCCCCCAAATAAAACGGACCAAACGGACATTTGTCCGTCTGTCCGATCGGACGTGTCGAACTGCTTCCATCAAGGAGTTTCCAATGAATGGTCTCCAAGAGAGCAATTTCAACACTAACCCCAACCCATTTAACGCGCCACCACCTTATATTTAACAAAAGTCTGTAGTTGATCGTGAAGATTCAAAGTTCTCTGTAGATGGTCGTCAAAAATCTCTGTAGATAATCGTGGAATTGAAACGATAAGTATTGCTATACAAGTTTCACGATTTTCTACTGAGAATTTTGATTTTTTTGCGATCATTTACAGAGATCTTTGAATCTTCACGAAAATTTTCATTTTCCAATTTGTCTGCAAGCGCAACCAGGTTCAGGGGGTGGGACCTCTTCAAGCGCAACCGTGGATTGATGGGACCTCTGCAGGGGCAACCGCGCCTGTTTATTGACAACTTTGGCTTGCGATCAAAATGTACTTTTTTAAAGGATTGAATAAAACCTCTCAATCAAAACCGCGGGACCGCTTTTGAGACCAAGATATTTTTGACATTTAATAAGAGAAAAAATCAATAAACAAATTGAATTTTTCTATTAGAGGTCTATTTCTATTCCTTTAGGCCTGTTCCATCAACGAGCGGAACGCCAAGTGAAACCTTTAGGCCTGTTCCCGTCGACAAGCGGACCGCCAAGGGAAATACATATCTTCCTGCGGCAGGGGGTGCTTTGGTCGAATAAAAATGAAATCTACAGATTTTTTGGGATGTCCCTGGTGCAGCTTCTAACTATTCAAACGGGTCGTAGTAGATTCGATAATTGTGCCACCCGCAATGATCGATTTACCGGCGAACACACAAACATTTTAAAGCGCAGATTGGCAATCCGGGCTTACATTTAGGCGCGGATTGTTGATGCTCTACTATATTAACCCATCCACGTTTTTGGACTCATCCCTGAGGATAAGTCCCGTTTCTTTCCTATTTTGTACGGCAAAAAATGTACTGAATGCGCGTAGAACGCTATGAAACCACCATCACAAAATCCTGAAGAAACTGATATCAACGTAAGACAAATATGTAAACGTAGTGAGGTAAAAATGTAGGAATATAGCACTTACACCCTTTCAAGTCCAAAGCAAAAATCAGAACTAGTGTAGCATTGTTGTGTGCCAAGATTTTATTACATTTAGCTCAAGCATGAAAACTGTTGAACAAGTCAACTTCGTCACTTTTTTGTAAGAGCAGACCTCGTTTTGTCTAAAAATGATGCTTAACCCGTACCATTTAGTCTAATAAGTACTCGGAAGGCTTCTGCCAGCTTTTGGTGACAATCTTGCAAGCAATTCTTGTCTTTCTAGAAGCAGATTGGATCCACTTCAAATTGCATCCAATGGCACCCAGGACAGATAATTGCAGTCGTGGTGTATTTCTGACTTTTCACTGAGCCAGCTGCGTATAGGATGTGCCCATTATATCAATACGTATCTCTGGACAGCATCTTGAAAGTATGCGAGCATGATTGAAACTCCTTTTGACGGTTCAAACGGCTGATTGTGTGGATTTCCAAAACACTGAGAAGCAGGCAGTGAGTCTCAGCTTTCAGATGAAGTAACTTTGGCCACTTCCTTGTTGGAAATGCTCAGCCATAACTTTTGAGACATAATCATTTCCAATTCCTAAGTCCAATTAGTAAAAGAAGATCATCCTTTATACCAACGCCTACGGCATGCCAAAAGATATTGCAGCCGTGACAATTTGTAGTGTAAAGTCACCAATTTCAATGATATCACCATTGACTTTTGAAAACCAAGTAGTGTCACTATCATGTAAGATAGAGGCACAAGGAGAGGCGGACATTCGCTCGGTGGAAGGCTGATGGTTGATGCAAGAAGCGTTGATGTGTCCAAGTTGGCGGCAATTGTTTTACCGTTGCCCATGCTATTGGGTGAATTCCGTTTTATGAACCGCCTTACCACACATACCACATATTGTCAGCTTCCTTGGCTTGTAATTGGCAGTAGTCTCTGTAACTTTGGGACTTCCAGGGGTAGTCATTGGGTTGATATTGTCCAAGATGTTAGAGGTGGTTTTGCAACGCAACATCGGAAAAGAAAGTCTGGTCCTATTGGTTGGCTTGCTCATGTCACATTATGACATGGCTCGGTCTGCTTTTGTCATGTGGCAATGCGATTCTTTTGCAGCCATTTGACTGGAACCTTTTCATATTTATTTTTGCCTCTGTGCTAATGTCACCTTCACCGTGGGAAAAGATCACCTACTATTTGTCATTTTGGGACAGGGTCTAGCCACCATCAACCATGCACTGAGTGTCTCAATACCGCCTTCACCCTGTCATTTTTGCATTGCCAGCACCATCTATTGTCACACGCCCAAAGTGTTAATGTGATCACTACAACACTTGAAATATCATAATGGCAATATATTAATATCAACTAAATAATACTTTTTCTATCTACTTTTCAGGAATCTATTTGCCATCATCCTCATATATTGTTACAATTTGTTGCCTTGCCTTCTTGTGCTTTTGTCCAGAGTGTTTGTGGTTCAGTTAGTGGTGTCACTGCTGGGCCATTCTTTGGCCAGTGCCTTCCATCTGTCCACATAGTTCTCCACCATCAAAAGTGCAAATGCTTCATCCGTGACATTGAAAGCATTGCTTAACACAAATTGACATCTTGCATCACCACAATATTTAATGACAACAGAAGCAGGTGAGATCAAGGCTTTTATCACACAACAGTAGCGCCAAAACATGAATACTCACCCTCTTTGTGTTCACGGTCCTCATCACAGCTCACACTTGAATTATTGTCATACATCTTTTCCTGTCTTCAAGACTCCCCTTCATATGTTGGCAAATAAACAAAGCATACTCAACCCAAATTGGCATCTTTCATCACCATAATATTTAGTGACAAAAGAAGCAGGTGAGATCAAGGCTTTTGTCACACAACAGTAGTACAAAACATGAATACTCACCCTCCTTGTGTTCAAGGTCCTCATCACTGCTCACACTTGAATCATCAGCATATACCTTTTCCTTTGATAAGAAGGGTTCTCTGAAAGTAGGACATGGTTAAAATGAATGTCAGAGGTTGCAAGTGACAAACAAAGTGACAAATCACAGAATGCTTCATAATCACATGGGCTCTCTGAAAATATCGCCTTCATCAATTCTAGGGGAGGCAACCCAAGCCCCAAAAAGACACCCCTGCTGATTTTGGGGCATGGTCCCTTAAATATCAACTGACTTTCTTTTCCGATGAAATAGGTTCGTACATTGATATGACTAGGGACTGAAGTTGTGCAGTCCCATCAACATCATCTCTGGCCAAACACCTAGTGTAAGCGCACATAGTTCACTGAATCACAATCTATGTTTCCAACAGATTGGGAATGAGATGAAAGCTGACTATGAAGAGCACGACGCTATTCTGATCGCTTGTTGCATGATGCAGATCAAGGCCAAGTTCGATACTGACGAAGGTCTGAACTTCATCCAACAGTATTACATCAATCAAGGACTGAAGACGTTTGGTGATGATGGAAAGGATGCTGTGGATAAGGAATTGAGACAAATGATCCTGGGAGATTGTTTTACTCCCGAATTTGTTAAAGACATGAACGAAATAAGGCCCAATCAGTGATGATATTACTTGCGGAGAAGCAATTCAAAAAGACAACTAAAGGTCGCCTAGTATACTGAGGCAATGGAACTTGTGAATGGTTATCATCAGAGGACACTGCAAGTCCAACTGCTTTGCAAGAAGCAATCATCACTACTTGTGTTATTGATGCACACAAAGGTAGAGATATAATCACGATGGACGTGCCTAATGCTTTCATTCAAACTTATATGCCTGGAGCTAAGGAAGGAGAAGATCGAATCTACATGAAAATCACTGGCATGATGGTCCAGATATTGATTGACATGGCCCCAGAGTATTGCAAATACGTTGTATTCAAGAACGGAAAGCGAGTGATCTATGTGCAGGTACTACATGCCATATATGGGATGTTGCAATCAAGCCTCCTATTCTATAATCAGTTACAAAGTGATTTGGAGGCAAAGGGATTTGTTTTTGATCCGTATGACCCGTGTTTTGCTAACAAAGTTGATAATGAAAAACAACAAACTATAAGGTTTCATGTTGACGATGTTATGTCAAGTCACATGGACCCGAAAGTGGATGACAAATTTGCTGAGTGGTTGAACATGAGATATGGTTCGATCAAGGCATGCACAATCATCAGAGGAAAGATACACAGATATCTTGGAATGACTTTGGATTTCTTGGTGAAAGGAAAACTCAAAATCCGCATGGGCGACTATGACAAGAACATGTTGGAAGCTTTTCCTATCAAGTTCAACAAGGATTCAAAGCAGGAAACACCAGCTGGTAACAATTTACTGGAAGCTGGTAAAGGGAAGTTACTCGGTGCTGAGTACCGTCAGATCTTCCATACTACTGTTGCAAGGGGGCTTTATGTCTCTAAGAAAGCTCGTTTGGATATCCATCCAACGATTACTATTCTTGCCTTGAGAGTTCGAGAACCCACAGAGTCTGATTGGAAGAAGTGTGTTCGCATGATGCAATATTTGTTTTGTACATCGTTGTCTTGACGATGTTATGTCAAGTCACATGGACCCGAAAGTGGATGACAAATTTGCTGAGTGGTTGAACATGAGATATGGTTCGATCAAGGCATGCACAATCATCAGAGGAAAGATACACAGATATCTTGGAATGACTTTGGATTTCTTGGTGAAAGGAAAACTCAAAATCCGCATGGGCGACTATGACAAGAACATGTTGGAAGCTTTTCCTATCAAGTTCAACAAGGATTCAAAGCAGGAAACACCAGCTGGTAACAATTTACTGGAAGCTGGTAAAGGGAAGTTACTCAGTGCTGAGTACTGTCAGATCTTCCATACTACTGTTGCAAGGGGACTTTATGTCTCTAAGAGAGCTTGTTTGGATATCCATCCAACAATTACTATTCTTGCCTCAAGAGTTTGAGAGCCTACAGAGTCTGATTGGAAGAAGTGTGTTTGCATGATGTGATATTTGTTTTGTGCATTGTTGTATCACCTGATACTATCCGCAGAATCTCTACGAGTCATGAAATGGATGATCAACGCATCATTTGCAGTGCATCCAGATTTCAAGAGCCATACTGGCGGCACTCTGTCCTTTGGAAGATGAGGTGCGGCTCAAGTGATGTCAAAGAAACAAAAGCTAAACAGCAGAAGCAGTACAGAAGCGGAACTGATTACTGTTGACGACGTTGTCACGATGATACTATGAACAAAGTTGTTCATGGAGTGGCAAGGGTATCTTGTATCAGGATAACAAAAGCGCCATTCTACTGGAAGAGAATTGTCGCAAGAGCGCGGGCAAAAGAAGCCGAGCTATCAATATTTCTTTATCACAGATCAAGTTGAGAAAGGAAATGTTAAGCCCAAATACTGTCCAACTGACGATATGATTGCGGATCTCATGACTAAGCCATTGCAAGGTGAGAAGTTTTGCAAGTTCAGCGATCTGATTCTTGGTCCACAGGAATAGGTCAGACAGGTATGTATATGTTCAAAATGAAAATACAAAACAAAATATACAGTGAATGAGAGCATGTCCCATTGCTGTCAATGGTGATTGTCAAAATGGCAGGAGTGTGTTGGGATATGATGAAATATGAGCTTTTACGATCCAAAAAGAAACTATTCAAGTACAAAGTTTTCAACACGTACGATCGAACTTTGATCGTGCTGTCGGGATTCGACGCAAGTATGCCGGACGCAAGTCTGTCGGACAATCTATATCCACACAAAAAGGGAATGACCCTATACAAGTGGGATATCGATGTTGTGTACAATGCAGTAGGGAATAATACAAGATGTCCCAAAGTACTGCATTCAACACAGAATCCTCGTAGAAGTCAAATGGAGTTCTGTAAACAAGGGATTTTCTTTTGTGAATGAATCATCAATTCAAGCCAAACATTAATCAAATAGGAACAATTTCACTCAAAGTATACCTAGACACAGTAGAAGTATTGTCGTGAAAGTGTTGTACAGTCGATTACAAATTTAGATTGCAGAGAGTTTGTTCTGAGTGCTAAAGGCACTCACCATAGAGCACATTTGCTTTATTCTAACACTTTTTTTGGTCAAACCTCACACATCAACAATCAAATCGTTGCCATAGAATTACTGATTCTGGCTCCTCATAAAGCGATCCTGAACAATCAACTCCGCCTGTTTGACTCTTTATGGATCGTTTGGTTGTCTCAGTGAATGAATGGAACTGAAATATTCCTCACAATTCTTGATTCGTTTTTTGTCAAACCTCACATCGACAATCAAATTGTTGCCCTAGAATTACTGCTTCTGACTCCTCACAAAGCGATCCTGAACAATCAACTCCTGTTTGACTCTTTATGGATCGTTTCATTTTGACAGATCATTCATTATTTCATTACAATAAATTATTTCATTACTTGTCAATGGCGGTGGGCACATCATGATGTAGGTGATACTTGCTGGATCTCATTCTATTTGATGATTCAAAAGTAAGAGATCTTGCTTTTTCCAATGGTGATCATGCATGGTAACAATGAATGGAATATACCAAAGCAAAATATTATGATGATAAAACGCAGAGATTCTGATGTAAGTGAATATTGAATATCCGCGCAACTAAAGAATAGCCAAACAGTCATGGAAAATGAGTGGCCTATGCCCCCCAATATCCGCGCAAAGCAAAGAATGGCAAAACAGTCGTGGAAATTGATGGTTTCTGCAACATGTCAGATGTCACATATTGAATATCTGTGCAAGGAAAGAATGGCCAAACAGTCACAGAAAACGAGTGGCCTATGCCCCCCAATTTCTGCAACATGTCAGATGTCATGATATTAGCTGGATTTAGTTATTGTTGAATTCTTGGGCTGTCAGCAAATGCTATGGTAAATGTGGATCGATTATAGCAGCAAGAGTGTATGACAAAAAGTAGTAATATTTTTAAGTTCACAGATGCATCTCCCTGGATCCTGTGTATTTTTCTTTGTTTTGCTAAGCATGTTCAAAAGTTTTTAGATGGTCAAGAGTTAGAGTAGTGAATCGAGTCGAAACCGCAGAAATTGAGGGGTCTTTTCCACGACTCTTTGGCCATTCTTTGGTTGTGCAACTGTTTGGCCATTCTTTGGTTGTGCAACTGTTTGGCCATTCTTTGGTTGTGTGGATATTCAATATGTGACATCTGACATGTCACAGAAATTGGGGGGCCTAGGCCACTGGTTTTCCATGACTGTTTGGAATCATGACCTGCAACTGTTTGAATCTTACCTATCCCTAGCCCTTTCTTCTTCGTAAAAGACCCTATAATGATAGCCTTGTTGTGCTCATCATTTCCATCATTCCTTTCAAATCCAAAGTAGCTGTCTTTGGAGGCGGAACAGCCCCAGACTCAGTCATCCGTGGAAGGAGACATATCTCATCTGTCTTGTTGTTGCTTTCCCATGGCAATGTTGAGAGGAAACAGTGGAACCTAAGTGCATCATCTGATCCATAGTGACCACCATGGAACTGCCTTGCATTGATTAACAAGAATGCCCCATATGGGACATGTACAAACTTCAGTTCTGTCCAGAGGGCCAGATCTTGAGGAATCTCCTCTCCCTTACTAATATACATCATTGCCTTGTCTGTAAGTAGATCTAGCCTGAGAAGGCATCCCTCTGGCATGAGACCAATGTGTCCAATGAAAGCCTTGGCTTGTCCCTCTTTGTCCTGCATCCGGAACATTCCATGATCCAGGTGAGATGGCTGATGATACATTCCATTTACCGTTCGGATACAGCCGCAGTTAGAACTTGAGATACCAAAATTCGGTTCAACCAATCTTAGCCCTGTAATTATTGCATCAAGAAATTTTTTCTCCACAAGACTGAGACTAAACCCACTCATCATGTACTCTCCATGTGGGAGTGCTGAAGCATTGTGTTCTCCAGTGGAAGTGTTGTAGTGTCGGATTGCAGTGCAATCAGAGATGAATTTGTCTCTGTAATCTTTGGATTCGTAATGCCTCACAAGTTGAACAAACATTTTCATGGGTACTTTGTTACAGACATAGTTTCTGTACTTCTCAATGATATTTGGAAGAGACCCTCTCCAATAAAGAGCGAGCTTGGTGTTGAGCGCAATTAGTATTTGGTAGTCTATCCGAAGCAGTAAGGATTTCAATTCTTTGCAATCCAATCTCTTTTGTCGAAAATGTGCTGGCGGCAAGAAAGGTCCTCTCGCCAAAGCTATGGGCCTGCTAGTGGATCTATACATCCTTGGTGAAAAATCCATTAGCCTGGTTGCCGCTATTTTACTGTCAGGAGCCTTCACAAACAATGATATAGCTACAACGGTGAAGCAGTGAAGCGTCAAACTTCTAGTTGATGGAGTACTTGTGGCAACAAACTTGGAAAATTCAGGAATGCCATGGCCAAACGCAACTTGCCTATTATACTTCAAGGGCATCCACTAATTCTGAATAATCCAGTGTCTCAAATCAAACAGTTCATGGGAAAGTCAAAAGCTGAAATGAAATACCTGAAGGCTGACATTCTTACCAGGGAGATTGCAGCACTTCAGGCCCAAGATTTTGAATGTCAGTTGATTGTTGCAATAATTCCTACAAAGATTGCCCAGTTGCTGTGGAAGGTGTCCGTGGACAGGTAACGGATGTTATCCTTGAAATGCAAGGAGGCGTATTTGACAGTGCAAGCTTTGTTGTAGTGTTAGAATAAAGCAAAATGTGCTCTATTGTGAGTGCCTTTAGCGCTCAGAACAAACTCTCTGCAATCTAAATTTGTAATTGACTGTACAACACTTTCACAACAATAGTTCTCCTGTGTCTAGGTATACTTTGAGTGAAATTGTTCCTATTTGATTAATGTTTGGCTTGAATTGATGATTCAATCACAAAAGTAAGTTCAACAATTTTCCCTTGGAAAATCCCTTGTTTACAGAACTTGATTCGACCTCTACGACGATTCTGTGTTGGATACAGTACTTTGGGACATCTTGTATTATTCCCTACTGCATTGTACACAACATCGATATCTCACTTGTATAGGGTCATTCCCTTTTTGTGTGGATGTAGTTTGTCCGACAGACTTGCGTCCGGCATACTTGCGGCGAATCCCGACATCACGATCAAAGTCCGATCGTACGTGTCGAAAACTTTGTACTTGAATAGTTTCTTTTTGGAACGTAAAAACTCATATTTCGTCATATCCCAACACACTCCTGCCATTGTGACAATCACCATTGGCAGCAATGGGACATGCTCTCATTCACTGTTTATTTTTTGTTTTGTATTTTGGTCCAAAAAGCCACTTGGTGGTGGTGTGGACCGGATTTCCTAAAAATGCCTTGTTCTAACACATATTTGTCGTCCATGGGTATGTATGAGAAGATTGGTGGCTTTGGAGTGGACATTTCCTAGGTAAAAGTGATTGAATAGCATTCACACTGCTTTGGGGATCAATCCAGGTTCATGAAACAATGTGGCTGGAAACCTTCTCAGTAGCCAAGTCGATACCCTGACACGATGGCACCAAGTTCAAAGTTGGTCAAAATATATAGTAATCGAAATTGGGTGGTGGTTTGGAGGGCTATGGCGGAAAAAAGAATCTAGGATAGCATAATTTTTTTCTCTCTTTCCTACTTTTCAATTCTTGATTTTGTGGAATGGCATGAAATAAGATCGATATACACAAAGATCTCTAATTCAGAGTGGACCCAATCCTAGCAAATATATATACTTATAATATTGCATTGAAATTTATCTAAGAATGTAATCGCAACAAGGTCTTATGGTACAAGATCAGCCTCTGGCCTCTTGAGTTTTTTTTGGCAATCACATGGGTCAATATCAAGTCAATTGAGTCAATTTGACTAACAGCTGTTTTTTTAGCCGTTACCAGAAAGTTGTTTTCTGCAGTGGAGCCCCTATAACACCTCCTATGAACTTGGGATTTTTTACAAGGGATGGGCAAATATTCTCTAGCGCTTTGAAAAGGTTTTAGGTCCGTAGGTGTCTTTTGAAATTTTTGCTTTGTCCCAAGAATTCCAAAGTCCACCTGAATTTTGGGGGGTATTTCGTGGATCGGGGTCTTATGTGGTTGATACCATGAACATCACCGCCAACTACTTGAGATATTCTGATGGAAGAGTACCGCTTGAAGTGATCACTGGCATCACGCCGGACATTACAGAATACAAGGATATGGATGGCATTAGTGGACAAACATGAACACAGACACTTGCTAATGGAGGAGATCACGGAATATCGTTCTGATGAGAAGGAAGTAAAGATGAAAGATGGTTTCTATCCCCTTGGAAGTGGAACGCAACAAAGACGACACACGACAGCAGGATGGGACTTCTACGTTACTTGGAAAGATGGTTCCTCAAATTGGATACCTTTGAAAGATATGAAGGAGTCTTTCCCGATTAAAGTGGCCGATTACGCGGTAAGAAAGGGCATCCAAGACAAACCCGCTTTTGCATGGTGGATTCCACACGTTCTTCAAAAGCGAAAGCGATTCTTTGGTAAAGTAAAATCAAAGTACTGGGAACGTACGCACAAATACGGAATACGTATCCCAAAATCGATCAAAGAAGCTGTCACAATCAACAAAGCAAATAGGGACACACCATGGCAAGACTCAATTCAAATGGAGATGAAAAACAATCAAGTCGCTTTTGAAGAATTCGATAGAGACGTAGAGAAGCTGATGGGATACAAAAAGATCATGGGACACCTAGTATTTGATGTGAAACTAGGGGAAAACTTCCAAAGAAAAGAGAGGTACTGCGCTGATGGACACAAGACTGAAGCACCCGCAGCATTGACCTACAGTACGGTAGTGTCCCGTGATTCAGTTTGGATACTACTAATGATAGCAGCGCTAAACGGATTAGACTTGCAATGCACGGATATTCAAAACGCATTCCTCACTGCACCAGCAATCAAAAAGTGCTACCTGGTAGCAGGACCTGAGTTTGGTGAAGAAGAAGGCAAAGTATTTATCATACGAAGAGCATTATATGGCTTAAAAACTTCATCCGCAGCATTCAGATCACACCTGGCGGAGCCTTTGGAGGATTTGGGCTTCAGCTCGTCAACTGCCGACCCAGACGTTTGGATGCGAGCGGCAGTGAAACCTGATGGCGAGGAATACTACGAATACATCCATTGCTACGTTGACGACATCCCATGTATGTCGATGAAAGCCAAAGAAATGATAACAACACTCTTTTTAAGAATACGATTTCATCTAAATTACCATCTTTAACATACACTACTTTGTAAGTCAACACTCTCGTAATAATGTAACAATTACATTTATATTTTCTGACCCATTCAGGCCACTGTACCTGGTACGCTTGATTCAGGCCAAATCAATGACTAAGTTGCATACTCTTTGAACCATAAGGATCAATGTAAGAGACTAATGCATTGTTGAGTGGCTGTCCCTTACCATGGCGGCAATGAGCGGCCTTCGGGACCTGCCAAACGATGGCAAACCAAAAGAAAAAATGGAAATTAAAAAATCTCCGCAACCAAAGTACATGAAGCAACCCAGCAAGGCCCCAATATAGTATAGACATCAATAGAGCCTACCACCATTTGGATAAAGACTTTCTTTGCATGTGGAGCCCATTATGGACCCAAAGGACCGCCCTGCAGAACCAGGTGGACGAACCATTGTTGATTGTAGTGTGATTGAGGCGCTAGAGTAACAGACAAGAGAGATAGGGGAAATGCATATCTGACACGTAGCCGTGTCCTATGATGCATGAGAAAAATAAAAAAAAGGAGAAGGGACTGTACGGTGGATGAACCGAGGAGATCCAATAAAGTGTTTTGAAATGGTCGACCGGCTGGTAATGTCACCTGATAAAATGATTCTTGGCAGAGTTTGTTTACTAGATGTAGACTTAATACCCGGGAAGGAAGTTTGCGTTGGTGTGGCATATACAGATGGTACCGTAGAGGATATCAAGGAGAAACACCACCTGCCTATCTTCCAAATGAAGAAGTGAAGGAATGACCTATTATAGATGAAAAGGTAATATGACATGTGATTCAAGTCATTCAACCAAAGAATCGTCAAGTTCCAGGATGACAGGTCTTCTGAAATTAATGTGACTGTCTTCAATCTTAATGCAGGGATACCCAAGTTCATGGTGAGCCACTGAGGGTATGGTTTAGAGAAGAATGCATCTCTCACTTCAGGATAGCAATCGTAGAAATTTTTGTCAGCTTCCCTTTTAAAATAGGTCTGGACAAGGCAAATAATTGATGCATCATCAAGATAGTGGTCCATCAATTGATTTTTTCCATCAGTTAGGTTCCACTTATTCTTTACTTCAGCACTGATCCCCTTGGTTTTGAGAAACTGTTGTTGATGTGCGGTGAGCAAATGGAGTGGGAAGAGAAACAAGATGAACCTATACTAGTAACTTGCCTCAATAATTTTTGATATAACTGCCAGCTTTGCGCTATCATCATTTTCAGCAAGGGCGGCAATGAATGTTGTCTCTTGTAGTTGGAATTGTTCTTCAAAACAGGAGCATTAATCTGCTTGCTGATTCTCCTGAGGGCAACGGAACAAAATCCAATTTCTTCAGAAAATAGTCTCTTGGTGTTGCTGCGTTGGGGTTCCTTTGGGTCTTTGACTTGTCCCAAGGCCTTGAGAATAGGAAAGACGTTTGCCTCTTGCTTAAGACCAAACCTATTGAGGTAGAAAGCTGTAAACATTCCAAAGGCAATGTCTACCATGGCAATAACCATTGGTGGTTCTGATAAGTTGTTCAACAAAGGAAATTCTCCGTTAAAGTTCTTTAACCAGACTTTGGCCTTTAGTCTTTTGTTAGGGTAGTAGTCAGTGAGCTGTTTGTGCTCAGTGCGTTTTTTTTTTCTTGCGACGTTTTTTCGGGAGATACAGGCACTGCTGTTGTCCGGCGCACCTTTTGCAATTTGAAGACCATAGACTGGTCTTGAGGATCATCCGTTTTGAATTTGCTGTCCATTTTGTGGAATTGCAGATTTGTGACAACAAAAGATGTTAAGCCGTGTCTTGGAGGATAATGGGCTAGTATGGATTACCTGTAGGATGGTGCCAATGTTTCCATTTAGGGGCATGGTGATAC